AGCAGGGTGTTGGAACCAGGGTGCCCTCTTTGCAATTCCCCTGAAGAATCCTGCAAGATACACATGCTGTGGTCAGCTTTCATCTGAAATGCAAAGGAAGGAGAGGTTGACTGACCACTGCCGGCCGATTTTAGAAAACTAAACACCTGGAGATATTAAAGAGCCATATCCCAAATCTGTTAGATATCTACGATTGTCAGTGAAATATTAAAATCTTCACAGTCAAATATCTACTTATTCTCTTATCATGCCTAGGATCATTGACTAGATTGGGCTATTCCCATCCACATTTGACATGTACAGACAAAAACGAGGTGCTAAAATAGTGAGGATCAAAATTTTTGAGTGTTTTTCATGTTTCTTAGTTTCAACCTTGTGTTCTACTAGATAAAGTCTACTGGGTAGGAACTAAAGAGCTCAATTATATTCTACCCTTCTTTGTTGGCTGTGCAGAGTAAACCTGACAAGTTATACAAGCCTAACTTCACTTATCTATAAATTTAAAAACAAAAGAAGAGCCTCATTTTTTTCCCACAAAACTTGGAAGATAGAATGATAAATCTATAAGAGCACATTGAACCCCATGGAAAGAAGCCTTATGTGCTTGCAGACACTAAGATGATGTCTTATTTCACTTTGTATAGTCTTGCCAAGCCAAAGAGCAGCACTATCCTCAATGGACACTCCCCCTTGCTGATCCTATGGGGCTACATCCCCTGTGCACATATTTTAAATTCCTTTGGCTTCATGGGGTGAAGGGGGGAGGATTTAAATCCAAAATTAACAGAACTGGCAACTAAAGTCATAATTCCAATCCTTGCATCCAAGGGGATTTGAAGGACCTCACCAGAGAAACAATTGTAGCGTGCTTAAGTAGTTTTAAGGTTTTGAAGATTGTAGCTTGGAGAGGATTAAGATTCACCAGAGTCTCCCTTGACCGTTGAGCTCCAAGTGTTTATTATACCCGTTCTCTCCCTCTTTTCTTTTCTTCTCTTTTCTTTCTTTGCCTTTATCTTCACTTCAGTCTTTTTTTGTTCCCAGTTCTCTGTTGTCTTCATTCTTCTCTCCTGCCTCTCTACATTGCCACTGAACATCTATACTATAGTCTTAACTTTGCTAAATGTTGCAAGCGAGAGAGAAGGAAGAGGAAGGAGAGATGGGGAAAAAAAACAGAGGGGGAAAAACTAATATTTACCTTGAAAATGCTTGTCACATAGAAGTTGCTCAATAAGTAAATATTCATTGACTGAACCGATAAAAAAAAAAAACTAGCATTAAGAACATGTTTTGTGTTAAGCAATCTCTGCATGCATTTCCTGTAATCCAACTACTGGATTACAGTTGTTTATTATCTCCGTTGTATGGACCAGGAAATGCAGTTTCAAAAAAACAAAATAGGTTAAGCAAGTTTACGCAGATAGAAAATGACAGAACAGGTGCACAAACCAGTTCCTCCCCGACTCGAAAATCTAGAATAGTCATATGTCTGATGTTTTCCTTACATCGGTTCATTTAATGGACATTAAACAAGGCATACACTGTTTGACATTTGATGAGTTGAACACAAGCCAGACATGACTATGGCAGAGGTTTGAGGTTCTGCTCCAGCAATAGCTGTGTTATCTTGAGCAGGTTGCTTAAACTCTCTGAACTCCAGGTCCCTCATCTGTAAAATCTGAATCTCATCTTTGGGTGGATGTAGTCATTAACTCAGCTCGTGACATGACCCACAATTTTAACTGGGCAAATAAAGTGAAGAACATTCTAGAGGGGGAAATAAAAGGAGGAAATGATAATGATTTTGTATGGTGCTTTCTCCCAGAAACCCTCCCTCACCTCTGAGCACCTTTTTTTTAAGGCTCTCCTGGTATCACGTTCTGCCTTGGTCATATCCCCTGCCATGAGTATGGTAATCTGGGGTCTTCTTATCTGTATCTCCTTCCCCTCCTGACCATGAGGTCACCCAGTGAAATCAGGGACCT